TGAGCAAACACGTTCAATGACAAACCCTGGTTTACTCCTAAACTCAAAAAGCTGTGGCTGGAAAAGAGAAAGGCGTTCAGAAGCGGAGACAGGGACTGCTACAGAGAGGCCAAGTACAGGTTCACTAAAGAAGTGGACGTTGCTAAACATCAGCACTCTGAGAAGATGCAGCAGCAGATCTCAGAGAATGACTCGGCCTCTGTGTGGAAAGGTTTTAGGAATATCACCAACTACAAGCCTAAAACCCCCCACTCCACTGATGACTTGCTCTTGGCCAACACCCTCAACGACTTTACTGCCGTTTTGACGAGCCATCAGGCAGCCTTCACACCTCCAACGGCCCCAACAATAGAGACACTTTGGACACTAATTCCCCCACCTCTCCCCCCTCCATAGAGCCATCACCACCTTCAAGTTCACCTACAACACCCCCTCCTCACCCCACACAAAAGAGGATTTCACACCACCTCCTCCCACCACAACTCTTCATATTCATGAAGAGGCGAGGTGTTGTGTGTAGGGCAGCAGCTTTAAGAGTCTGAGGATTGCTCGAAAAGCTCCCGGGCTCGTCGAGATGGTGTGGGTCTCCTGCACCCACTAACACATGACCCTACGCTGTGTCACTGCATCATTCCATGTTTGGCACTGATCACCACCTGCACTCATGTATATATCATGTATATATCTATCTACTATATATCTAATTCTTATTTTTATGTTTATTTAAGCGTTGTCTGACAGTATGTTTGCACTAAGTACCGCAGCAATTTCCTAACGTTGTAAACCTGCTCAACATTTGGCAATAAAACTCTTTCTGATTCTGATTCTTAAAATCATGTTTTCCCTCTGATGAATCTGATTAAATTCCGATAATAATATTCAGTACTTACTTTTAAAATTTACTCTTCAGCCGCTCCGCTTCCACCGTTTTTTTCGGCAAAATTATCCACACCCACCGCCGCGCTATGCATTCTGGGATATGTTGGGTCACGAAGTCTACACCGCCACATCCTTAAAATTCAGGGAAATGAAGGACACATTTGAAGGCCGCATTTCGAGCAGCCTTTGAATGGGGACAGCCTTCGTCGCGTCAATCGGCCTTAAAATGCGGCCTTTAAGGCTGCAGACCCTGAATTGGGATACAGCCATAATGATCTTGATAGTTGAGCTCAACAGTAGCTCAACCCGCATCCGTTACAGATGAACAGGAGCCAGAATTGTTTTGTCCTACAGTGGCCACCGTAGCTAGGATTATGCGCTCGACTTTGGATGGGCGAGAAAACAGGTTTGTTTTTTTTTACAACTTTTACACACAGAACCTTTGTTTGCAATCCAGTTAAATATATCAGCTTCATCGTGTAATCTTACAGACAGCTAATGTTTTGTGTTCCTGACAAAATACATTTATTGTGTTTGACTCTCTGAACTATTAAAGCTACTAGCAAACTTAACTGCTGGATGGCAGCCCACTTTATTTCTTTTCAAGGATGGGAAACGAGAATAAAATGCTGCCCCCTCGTGGTGAGGCGGTCACGGTGTATTTTTTGCAGAGCAAAAGGTGTTTTTAACCTTAAGGCAGTGTAGACGTTATTAAAAGTGTCCACACGTTAGCAAGAAAAGCATAAAGGAAGGAGAGCAGGCGGGTCATGAACAACTTCTTATTTAATAATACATTACATTCAAGGCAAATGATACACCCTTACCAATACATATTCAGCAATGCAATCGTTGGCTCCCTACATAAATAGAAATTTGAAATCTCGAAGTCAGTGCACAACATTAAGAGAGAACACTTAACAGTCAATCTGTAACATGGTCTGCACACATTCTGCATTTCTGCACAGTACACACCTCTGGCTAGTGCTGCTAAAACCAACATAAAAATAGATCTCAAAATAAGTTATATGTGTATTTGTATATATGTTGTGTCTGTCTTCATAGAAATATTGGGCTTTTGGTTCATATGTACAGCAGTATAGACTTTGATGGGTTTCTCAAATGACAGAAATTGCACAGTAGTGAAAGAATTCAAGAACACCATTTCCAAAAATATTTTACACAAATAGTAAACAGTCAGTCTTCAAGATGCAGTATGAAATTGCACGTTGTCGTCATGCCACAGAGGGGGCTGTTTCAAGGCTTTGGTACACAACGTCCTGATCGGAAGAAAAAGCACGGACCCGATTCCTCCTCTGAGCCTCCGCGGCGGCGGGGAGGAGGGGCCGTAGCGAGGTCCATCCAATGCCACGGCCTGTTCCTGGGATCAAACTAGCAATCGGAGAGCAGGATGACTACAGTACACGTTAGGATTGGGGAAGACTCTTGGCACTTGAATCACAGGTGCAGGTCCGTGTCGGACGACCGATCGTACGCGGTCGCGTTGGACGGTTTAAGGAGCGATAAAGGGTCACACTGAGAAGAAGGGAGAGCAGGGAGGGTGTCAAAAAAGCATCCGACTCCCTTCAGATACAAACGTGAATGTGCTGTTACTCTGAAGCCAACACCAACACACTGTAATACTGATCCACTGAACACTAGTGATGGCATTAAAAGCAGCTTCTTTCAGATTTCTGTTGTTTTTTCTCTAAACCTGGGACTGTAAAGACAAACCCAGTCCGAGTCTCAGAGGCTGGACTTCGGCTTCACAGGGACAATTGCAACCACTTCTCTGGACAGTGCTTCTGAATGCAAAAGGAAGTTGAACAGTCTTCGTGGTGCCTTCAGGTCAGCGTGCATGTTTCAAAGGAAACTACTGAAAGGATGGTCTATGTTTCCCGAGAATATTCTTTGCTGCGAAAAGTCAAACAAGCACTGACCACATCCTGCATCCTCGTGTCTCGCGTTCTATCCCATATACTCGATCTGGTTTGTTTTTTCCCAGGGAATGCCTAATAATGTGTGCTTCTATTTCCTGCAGCTTCACCAAATGTCAACAACATTTCAACACAGATCGATCTGAAACGGACATTTTCTATGAAGTTAAATGGATTTACTTGTAGCTGGTTATTGGAGCTTTCACACTATAGTTCAGCTCTGTTGTGTGATAGTTAAGGATCATACAAATTTAAATGTTAATCAAAGATTATCTGAAATAATTATACTCCAGGAAGTATATCACAAAATTAGCTCAACTACTTGTTGTCTCAGTGTGATTTAATAGCAAGGCAAAGACCCTTTGAGATTAGCGAGAGATCCCAACAATCAGACAAGAACTTCCTTTTAAGTCTCGGGGACGGGGAACCAAGAAAGGTACATGTTTCTGACTAACTGTTAAATACTGTTTTTAAACAGCTGGAAAAAGCTGTAAGTTATGAACAAACAGCACTACAACACTAACTCGAGTCTATGATCTTATTGTGACGTCTGCTAAACTACAGCCAGCTGTTTGAGGTTTCCTTCAAGGAAGTGATTTTCATTCTTTTCATAAAAATATCCAAACACTGCTAGATAAATCAGTTTTTAAATTTTAATTCAACTAATCCTAATTAGATCAGTTTGTCTTCTTAGTCTGCCTTTGAAAACTCAGTCTTTGTAGGCTCAGCGAAGCCAGAAATAGCATGTTTGGTATTTTGTAATGACCCCGACACGTAAAGTCGTTTCCTAGTGTTTCAAGCGTCGCTGGATTCTTCACCACCTTTCTCCTGCTCACCTTGGATGTAGGTGACGTTGTGCCGGAAACCTTTGGCTCTCTGAAATTGATGAGCAGCCACAAAAAGAGCTAAAAACTATTTAAACTCAAGGTGAAACTGATTGAGATAAGTTGAGGTGCAGCTCTCAAACGTAGCTGTGGCCCTTTTAAAATTGCGAGGATAAGGAGGAAGGCTCGTGTGCTTGCGTTTCCTGTTGTGCTCTGGGAGTAAACATGCTTCAAACACTGACCAACATGTTCAGAAAAGCTGGCTGCAATTCATCCTGAGTTTCTAAACGGTCCGGCCTCTCGCAGGCTCCTCCGGCCCCCACAGACTGTGGCGTGGCCTTCACAGGGACCGCGAAGGACCCGCTCACAACAAAGTGCAAGTAAGTACCTTGGGCTGTTACTGAAAAAGGCAACATTTGTGTCATAATGACTTTGTGGACAAAAAGAAAAGAGGGGGTAAAAACACACATGCTTGTAGAAAACACTCATGAAAAGGTCGTTGGCACAGTCCATTTGGTCACTAATGAAAACGTCTTCGTGGCTAAGTCTTCTGCTGTGTGTACATCCTGCACTCTAGTGGCCACAGATGGCACTGCATGGACAAACACAAACACTGAGAGCCTCAACTTTCCTGACAGCCATCCAACATGTTCAGTCTCAGAGTCGAGGAAAAGAGTGCGACTTTAGAAAACCGAGTTGTGATAGTGTGTGTGTGTGTGTGTTTCATGCACGCACGCAAACTCTGTAGGACTGGGGAAACTCAAGAATGCGTTCACAGTGTGATCAAACTCACAAGCATGCAGACAAATCCACATGTCCGAACAGGTACCATGGGCATTCCACGTGAAGGGCAATGTAAACAGATCGGGGCCGAGCTCCAACAGCCGCCCCATTCCCGGGGCCTTCATCTGGAGAAAAGGGACGCCTCGACCACCCGGCTGTGGCCTGGGTAAGTGGAGGCAGGAAGTGCTCTAGTTTCCAGCAGGGTCAGACACTCTCCCTCTGCATCCTCCCATTCCTCTTTCTGCCTTCTTCATCACAGTTACTTGTTGTCCATCAGAGACTGGACTTTGTGCACCAGCTCACGTGCTACCTTCAGGATATGCTGGACATCGTGCCGCTCAGCCATTTCTGTGGATCAGACAGGCTGTTAGAGAGACCGCTACCAATATGGAAATACAGCACAGTTTGTAGATTTCAGCAGCTAACTGATGAGCCCTGAAATGAGTTTGAACTATGTGTGTGTTTGTGAGGAAGCCAGGTTATCTAAGAAACCCACACAGGTACAGGGAGAACATGGCAGCGCTAACGGCCACGCTGCAGATTCTACATGCGGACCCACTGACACTGAAGTTTCTACTCACTGTTCAGACCTCAGAGCACTGGTATGAATGTGCGTCCTACCATTAAAGAATTTAATGATGTCGGTGAAGTCCATGTTGTTGTCCACGATGATCTCACGGTAAACTGTGACCAGCGCCAAGGCCAGGAAGAGGACAAAGTGCTGCGAGGAAATCCTGGGAGCCACCCAGATCACCTCCCACACCGCAAACACGTCGTCGTACAGCAGCTCTGCACACAGCACATTCCCGTAATCTGCATTTCTAAAGAGCGCTTCTCAACATGCACACTTTGTCTGCGCTCGGAAAACAGAAACATCACGTGAGAGGAGGATGGCGTGTTCACCTCTCTTGAAGTCCAACAGGAACCACCGGTAACAGAAGTAGAAGTGAGTGTAATCTCCGTTCTGCTGCATCAGCTCGAACAGCTCCGAGTCCAGGATCTGCCATCACACAGAACAGCAGGAGCTGTTAGCTGGAGCGTCTCTCGCTCTCTGATACTCACTCTATGAATATCATCCATCACCTGGATCAGTGACCTCATGTTGGCAAAGTGCGAGTCCATGGCTCCACCATTAGGGAAGTTCTGACTCATCCTCTTCATCAGCTGAGTGAAACAGCTGTACGCCAGGCACTCTGACACACACACAGTTAATGATCATTTATTGAATATTTTGTCTGGAATAAATACTGTCGCAGAAATGAAAGCAAGCGTTCTGCTGCTGCTGCATATGTGTTTACTGGTTAAACGGACAAATGCTTTTTAGCTTCTCATTGTTAGGCAGGGCTTTGATCTGTGAGCTCACAGTAATTCAGTTCTTTTCTCTCACCATCATCCAGGATGACCATGAGCGGAGCGAGGAGGTCACACATGCCCTGAACGTAGCCCATCTCTAAATGCTCCCACACATAGCTGCCAGGAAGAGAGAGGCAAAGAGAGACAGACTAAAGAGAGAGCACACACATCGGTAGTTGTTGTAAATGTTGGTGATTCGTTCTCCACAAATAAAACGCTAGAAACTGGAAATAACACAAACACGGCTGGAGATAAAACCTGCTTCTTCTCACTCTGTAAAATACTCGCCTCCATCTTCTGCACCTACTCATCACTACACAAGTAATCATTAGGGGTGCAACGATACAGTGCTTTCGGTTCTGTACGCATATGTATCGAACAATACAACATTTTTAATTTATTTGATCAACTTTCCTTCTGACGATGCTGTCTGTGTTGAGCGCTCAGTGGATCTGCGCTCGACAGTGCAGCCTAGGCGGAGTAGTCGATTGCAGATTCACTGAGCGCAGGGCAAGCTAGCGAGACAGAAGCTGAGCTCCTTGCAACATGGCAAACTGAACCTCCCCCACCCTCATTCAGATCTGGCGTTTGGAACTATTTTGGTTTTCATGTGACGTATGACCCTGAAGGTAAGCGCGTCATGGACAAAAGTAAAACAGTATGTCGGATGTGCCACGCAATGCTCAATTACATGGGTGGGAACTAGTGTGTTAGCGCAGTTAGCTCGTTAACGTGTTGGCCGTCCAGCCCCACGCATGGGGCGATTTGCGGTAACTCGTTAACGTCATTTCAGATTAACGCTGACAGCACTAGTGGGAACACAACGAATATGACTGCACATTTACTCCGACATCATCCTAGTGCAAAGACAAGTGGAAGCCGACAAAAACAACAAGCATGCATGCTACAAACTTTACCCGGGTCATTTAGACAGCCGTTAGCACATGATTCTCCTTATGGGGACCTGATATGTTTAATATGCTGCTGAGAATATAGCCCAGAAGAAGCGTATAGTATAGCTTTTATTTTGGAAAGAGACATTTCTCTGTAATAAACTCTCTTTTCCAAAGATGAGTGATTTCTCGATCAGATAGATTTATTTTTTTATTACTTTGTTGTTTCAGGAACATTAAATTTAAAAGCTGTACTTTTGAGTTAAAATATATAATTATAATTTTAATAAATGACAAATTAAAAAGGTATGAACATTTTTTTTGTATCGAAAAAATATCGAACCGTGAATTTTGTGCATCGTTGCACCCCTAGTAATCATCTAATCATCATCTAATACTCCTGTACATACAGTATTCAGCAAAAAGTGAAGAGAGTAGCCAAACCCTCAGAGTACGTCTCAGATCTACAGCTCTGCAGATCTGCAGTCAGCTCACTGCTTTACTATCTTCCTATCCACTCTGACAAATAAGCAGCTCCTCTGCAGATGATCAGCTGTTTTACAACTACTCACAAGAATTTTTGAGGTCTATAATTGATGGCTTTTTAAATAACGGCTTAATTAATTCCACCTTAAAGGCCTGTCTTACATAGCCCTGGCAGCATGATGCCATTTAGCACTGAGGTCCATAAAGCAGACTTGGGTATCAAACACGGGTTAGTACTGAGCTGTCTGTCACTGGAACGTGTGAAAGCTGCGGACAGGCAGAGCATCGCTTCACCAGGAAGCAAGAACAGATCCGTTTATGAGAACCCTTCATCGCACCTGACCCTGGATCAGTTTTACAGCCTTCTTACTAACAGAGACCTTACCCAGTGCCTGCGATGCCACACCAGTGAAACCACGGAGCGATACAGATGCATTTCTTTGATATTCAACAGTAGCAGCTGTTAGTGAAGGCTGACTGAAACTATTTACAGGAAGTGGATTTGATTTTGTTTACAGCAAAAGAAACCAACCTGTTCTGGTTTTATGCGACTACCTGACTCTGGTCATTTCAAACCCAGCATCACGTGACACGTCAAGTAAAACAGGTTTGTCTTTCTGCTGGAAAGCTTCACATTGCAGTTTCATTTTTTCACTCAGTGATTTGAATCATCGTCATAAAACAACAGGAGGATCTTCTTCCGTCTTCAGGTCTTTCTCTACCTGCACATGATGTTGCGGAGTTTCTCCAGGTTGCTCGTGGTGAAATAATAGTAGTTGCGATCGCAGCGCTGGACATCTTTGTCTATTCTGTGGAGGTTGAGGGCGACCGTGTCCAACAACTCGATCTGCAAAATGAAAAATAGTTTTCTGCTGTGTGGAATCTGCTCAGTGTTACTGCACAGTGTGTCCATCAAACACAGACTGTAGGTTGGTGTCACTCTCCAAGCACTTTGTTCTGATCATGTGGCATCAATGCAAAAAACAAGCCCCATAAACGGACATAATGTATGCACACACTGTACGTACTGTATAGGAAGAGAGCGATGGTGACGTCCCCTCAGCAGCTGCTCCACTGGTCACCAGTTTGTCCAGCTGACTGCACAGCCTGTCTTCCGTCAGAGAGTCCCGGCACCCCGCCAGCTCACTGGGAGTCCTGCCGTCCTCCGCGCCCCCACCCTCCTCCTCTGTGCTCTGACCGTCATCGATACTAGACAGGATCTGGGAGTGAGCAGAGGTCACAGAGTAGTTTCTAGAGGAGGGGAGCCCTGAGTCGGGGGAATCGAATTCTACCAGAGGACGCTCTTCTTGTGGGAGGGCCACGGGGGGCACCAGGTTGGTCATTGTGGGAGTGCTGTCCTCTCCGCTGGGGGTCTCCTGGCTTCCTGCATCCTGCTCATCTACAGACATGAACACCTGAAAAGGGGGCGGAGGAATCAGAAGGCACGATGTGCCAAATTACAACAACAGAAGCCTCGAGGTGCTTTATGCAATATAATGTGTGATTAAGTAAATCCCAAAAGGTTGGTTCTGTTCACCTGGACGTTCTCAGTGGGAGAAACGTTTCATCGCTCATAAACAGGACGTTTGCACAATGAAACTAGCACCACTGAGGGAACGATGGGCTGCGAGGTCAGGTGAGTGCAGCCCTTCCCCAACTCTCTGTGAACGGTACCTATGATCACCTCACAGCCCACTGTTCCTGCAGTCGGCTGGTTTCTCCCACTGACAACGCAGATTCAGCCTTTTGGGATTTCCTGACTGGACGACTGAGCATGCATATAAACCTAACTATGCATGTGATTCTTTGAAGTGGGGGCGCGGCTGCGTTGTCTCACCTCTGCTACATCGACTCACTGACTGATCTTTCAGCCGTCTTTGTGCGGCTGCTGCGTTTTGCAGCATTGTTATCAGATCATCTGTCAAACACTGTTGCTGTTATTTGACTAACAGCTTGTGCAAGACGTCTGCAGCCTACTTTTGTAGAGTGAAACTTATTTTGCTTGTTTGTTACTTCACACTGCTTTACAGAAACCATCAAAACAGCATCACAGCACTCACTGTCCAGGTGAACATTAATCATACTTCAGTCTGTTTGTGCCAGTTTAATCTCTTTAAAAACGAGTCGATACATCCGGATTTTTTACTGATTTCATCTTATGCAGAAACACTGAGACGTGCACTGTCTATAATTAGGCCACTAACATGTTTTATTGCTCCATCCGTGGAGGTTTTAGTTTGACGTCTTAATGCAAAACAACACAGGCTGAAATGAAAATATAACAGATAATAACAGAGCTCACGGTGCAGCGTCTGCATGCTGCTGATACCAAATGAAGTTCTGAGGATAATATAAAGCTCACCCAGACAACCCAACAAAGACTTTGGATATTGCTTGTATGAAGCTCACCTCATACAGCAGATATTCAGATTTATAATAACGTTTAATAAACTCTCACCCCCCAACTTAATAAAGTGTATCACTGAGTGGATGCTATATTGCTCTGAGCCCTTCACCTCATTGCTGAGCGTGGAGTCTCTGTGGACGAGCCGCAGGACGTGGCTGTCGATGCTGCTGCCCGAGGAGAGCTTGGCAAAGATGGCCGACTGCATCTCCTTCTCCCGCTGCTTGACGATCACCTCGCAGGCCTTCCACTCCCGCATCACCTGCTGGTACCGCTCGCCGATCTTTGCATCGATCTTCACACAGGGTTTTACTAACTTCAGGGCGAATTCAAAGAGTGTGTGTGTGTGTGTGTGTGTGTGTGCGCACGTGCACTGTACCTTACTCATCTCCTTTTTGCTCATGCCAAACTTGTAGTGTCCCAGAAGAAAAGGCCACACCTCCTTTCTGATTTCGTGCTGCACTCCACCGTAATAAACCAGCCGGAGCAGCTCCAGCTCCTTGTAGTTCTGCACACACACACACAATGTCAGGAAGGTAGGCAAAAAAGAGGAAACATAATAGACAAGAAAAGGCCTGAGAGGAAGAGGAAGTGCATCAATAATGGAAGGAGTGAAAGAGTGATGGAGCTCCGTACGGGAGTAGACGTAGATTAGAGCGGAAGATAAACGACACAGATATGAATAGAGTGTAAATTAGTAATGATGACTTTGTTGGAGCTGATGAATGATTACGGTGGCTGCTTTAATAGCTGCGATGGTATCACACGGAGACTTCATTTCACTGAAACTCATTAACTTTTCATTAGAGCGAAGGAGAGAGTGGAGACAGCAGGAGCAGTGCACCATCCTCCACTTTCAATTAATATGCTCCATCAGCAGGTGGAATGATATATGAGTGCAGGATGAGGAAACCGAGGCTCACGAAGTTCAGCTTTGGTTTTGTGTTAATAACTGACTCTGTGCTTTACAAACACAACAGGTAATAATGCTGGTTTACAGCACCGTGCAGGAACACGCTGCTCTGAAACTGCTGCGTTTTAATGGTGGATCTCACACCGAGCACGGACAGTCACACACTGGGGTCTGCAAACGCCAGCTTCAGACCGCTCTAACTGCACTACTCAGTTTCGGAGCTTTCTCCTCCTCCTGGCTCTGCTCAGAAGACACATGCAGCTTCACACATGCAGCTGGCTTAAGCAGAGCTAACATGGGATTTGAACTTAAATCCAATAAGTGAAAGACTTTTGCTTAGAAGAGCCTCACGTCTGTCCATGCAGGAGTGAAGGACTTTCAGCTGCAGTGATTAAAGGGTATCGCTGGGATCATTATAGTTAGCCTTTTGTCCTCGTCTCAGACTTCATAGCTTCTCGACCATGTTTGGTAAAAACCTTTCAGAACAGTTTAATATTTCATTAATTTATTTAAAAATCAATTTCCAGCTGTTAACAGTTTAATGACATCCAGTGCATTTGCTTGGGCTCTAGTTTCAGCTGAGGATTAAGCTGCGTTTGATGCTCTAGTAGCTGTTCGGGCCAGCAGGACAATGCGGGCGAGTCGATGTAGTCGTGTTCACGTCTGTTCAGGACACAAACACACTATTGTTCACTGAAAGGTGTCACTGCATACAGCTGTCATGTGTAACGGGGTGCATTCAGGAAAGAGTCAGCGCTGACAGGACTGTTCATCATATTGTTCCAGCTGTTTGTATCCTTTCCTGTTGTCTTCATAGCTTTTTAGCTTCTTATCTATTACTTGTTATTTGCACCTCTGAAGTTCACTGGGAGTTAGATAAAGCAGACCGTGCTTGAAGCTCTGGAATGTGTTACTGAGATCCCGGTGGGAGGAATTATTAAGGATTTTTTTCCATCGCTCAGGAGGTCGACCGGGTCAGCGGTTGAATCCCAAACTAACCCAGTCTGCATGTCTAAGTATCCTTGGGAAGGATGCTAAAGCCCATCAGTTGCATTAAACAGAGCCTGTGTGCAAATCACCACAGGCATTAGTAGGTTCTGGGTTTCCACAGAGCCCAACGCTCAGATTAAACAAAATGTAGATTCTAGGCAAGAAGTTTCATGAATTAGTAATCTGCAAATAAGAGCAACAAAGGTTTTATGATAGTTTACACAGTTATTCAGCTTGGCCTTTTTCATGCTTTATGCATCTGACTTGATGAGGAAGTACAGCCCACTGTGCCGTTCACATTCACACCCACAGGCACTCTAGAATCACCCGTTAACCCCACTAACTGCGTGTGTTTGGACTGTGGGAGGAGACACGAGCAGAACATGCAAACTCCGCACAGAAAGCCCCGGCACATGGTGGATTCAAACCTAGGACCTTCTTCTTCATGGCGGGCACTTTTTAAACCAATCAAGGGGCTGGTGTCAGGAACTATATGCACATGAACTGGACTTTTTCCTGTACTTGTCCCTGATAAATAAACTCCTAGTTAAGCATGAGTGCAGCTCCTCCCACGCAGTAACTCAGTTGTTTCTTATGCAGCACAGCAGATACGTCCTGTGCTAATTCTCCATCATCCTTTGCTTTGCTTTGCTCCTCATTATTCTCTGAAGCAGTGTTTCTCACAGTGTGGATCAGATGACCTCACTATTACTGTAAATACGACTCGCAGAGTGCCTGCACAGCACAAAACAGCTGTAACTTACTGTGTCTGTCAGTGCTGATCAATATCCCTGACAAGATGATGACTTGGCAATTTGCTGTGGTGTCTGGGTTTTAAATTTGCCATTGTGTGTGAGAGGTGGGGGGTGTCAGACTGAGGGAGGGACGGGCAGTCTCGTTATGTTGCAGGGCCTGCAGGATTAATGGCTGCACCCACCTTGCAGTCTTTCTGGTACTTGCTCCACACCTCTTTGCTGAGGCCCCCGGATGCCTCGCAGGGTCTGTCTGGGGGGACGATGTTGTGGTTGACCAGAGCTGACAGGTGAGTCCGCACTGTGGACAGGTGTCGACAGTATGCCAGCCCTGAAGGGCACATGTGCACAACAGTAGGGTCAGGATGAGACGACGTTTAGCTCCAATCAGTCTTTGAAACAGATTTCATCGTTTTTTTCATGTTTGCCACACGTGCATGTTTTATATCATCAAGCTAAGTTTTAAGATTAGACAGTAATAACCTGAGTAAATACAAAATGCAGTTTTGAAATGATCATTTCATTCATTAAGGGAAAAGTTATCCATTTGGTTATTTCATTTGGTGTTATATAAATAGAAGTGAACGGAGTCAGACCCACGAACTGATTGTGCCGCACAATCATGTGTTTGCAATAACCGGCAATGAGTCGTCATCACCGTGGACGAATCACTCATCTCTTCACACGAGGCCTTAGAGGTTTGAAAACTTAATGAATCATTTAAAACTGTGACTGAAACCTTTTGTGTAATGTAACATTGATGGTCTGAAACAAACGAAACCCTCGAAGAATATATAGAAAAATCTGTAAAAGAATATGTAACCACATCAGATTTATTACATATGAGATGCAGATGGTGCATAAGGACAAAAAGCAAGCGCAGAATTAGTTCAGGTAACTCAAAGGGTCGCACAGGTCAGCAGGTTCTCACACTGCTGCAATAAATCAACTTATTATGTGTGACACAAAATCTAATCTAGTATTTGTTACAGGCGGTATTTATGAATTCTTCATTACATCACAAACATACTGAATATATGAAACTGTTAATTTAAGATCACTGTAATTTCACTGAACATCTCCGTAAAGTCCAGGTGGAACATACGATACGAGGCTCTGGCCACAGATCACACTCGAAACAAAGCGCAAGAATAAAGTGTGCTTACATCCATAGAAGGCTCTGGAGACTATCTGCCGCTTCATGTTCTGGCAGAGCATCTTCAGAGGAATACTGGAGAAAGCAAAAGAAATCATTTGTTATCATCACACGTTTCCAGAAGATGGATCCGTCTCATCGATCTGTACGTGCCTGTGGTTTCTCAGTGCACAGATAACCTGTGAAGATCCCCGTTCAGTACAATCTCTCACTGTGTTACAGCTAAGAAGCCACGGCCGTCTCAAATCGCTGATACTTTTCTGTGTGTTCAGCTGATTATTTCCACAGACAGTAAAGCTCTGCTCTTGGCCCATTCGTCCTACCTCATGTACACTGTGTATATCTTCAGTGTGGCATCACATCAACACTAAATAAATAAAGGCTTCAAGAATATTTTAATATTTAAACATCTCTTTTACTCTTGATGTGTACTGGTTTCACGTGGCTCTTAAATACAACAATATTTAACTATAGAATTAGAAACTTTGGTTAAATTCACTGTTTTCTTACATTTACAAGATGTGATTTTCTCAAATCTATACAATGTCTATACAACTCCTGTAAGCTAATGCAATGCTGCAGGTAGCTTAAACAAATCGTGTGCAGCTTCTGCTTTGATGCATACGTGTGAATATCTGACGGGTCGTGTATGCAGGTACAGCCAGACGCGTAGTCAAAGGACAGGTTGCTGCCAGCGGTGGAGCAGGACTGGCACAGGGACTCGTGAGTGGTGACTTCAGCCTGTTGCCACGACGACGGGCTGCCTCCAAAGCCCTGCGTGTCCATCATGTCCCCGTGGTCTAAGCCAGAGAAGGAAAACGAGAAGACAGAGAGGTTTCAGTGCTCGGAGACACTTTTCTTTTCCCGACACTCCTCTCCTACTGTGAAAGGCTAAGCCTTACATATTATGACATTAGTCCCTCAGCTCAACCATAAATACATCATCACAATATTAAGAAATGAGGAGATGGAGAGTTTTAGACTCGTGTTAAATATGAGAGCTCGAAAAACAAAGGAAACCAAAAGTGGAAGGGGATGGTTTTGGGAAGCGGGAACAGTGCCGTGGGACAAACAGGCTGAGAGGATGCCGGTTCAGTTCATTCAGAGAGGAGGCAAGAGAGACAGCGGAGCTCAGGACGATGCTCCAGATGAACGGGAGAGCAGAAGACAGGAGGAACTGACAGTAGAGAGGGCGAGGCTCACGCTCAGGCCGTGCAGGATGCATAAAACCAGAACAAGACAAGAGACGTCAAAAGAAATCCTCTCGAAACAACCAAAACAAATGGACACCGGGAACAGGGCACACACAGGGGAGGGAAGAAATCAGAAAACATTAACAAATGCTCTTCACCTTAATTCTTCAGGTTGGAGCTGATGACCTGTCATGAATATGAAGCTGTGCTTTGGTCGTTCGATAACCCCCCCCCCCATAAAAAAGTCAGTTTCAGAACCGAAAAAAGCAAAAAAGCAAAGAGAAATTGTGCCGGAGCAAGACCGACATCGGCCCCTCCTGATTTACTTTGGGACTAGACGTGATCGACAACTGGTTTTGGGCTCAGTAACGCAACCCCGCTCACACCAGGACTCCACGTCTCAACTACTGCGGAACCCCACAGGACCATAATGAGAGGGGTGGAGGACGGGGCGAGGGGAGGGTGGGGTGGTGGGGTTAGTGAAGAATTACAGTGAACAGCATTGCAGCGAATGACTGCACGAACAGAGAAGAAGAAACTGGAGAGGAGAGAGAAATCAAAAACAAACAGAGGAGACTGTGAGAAAGTCCATCACAGATATGCAGAAACACACAGTCGTTCTCTAAAAAGCAAACAGGCGCAGACATGCAAACACTGTCAAGCATGTCGCAAGTGACAAAAGAAAGAGCCAAAAGGAAACAGAGTGCAAAAAGAAACAGAGAAAACCCAACAGGACTCGGGCATGCTTCAACAGATAAACCCTTTTTTTAACTCTAAGGAGCATCCCAGAATGCAAAGCAGCCCCTAGGGCTAGGCGAGGACACCTGGGAAAGTTTGGATCTGTGTTGAAACCTGCTGAAAGACATTTGCAGTGACTATAAAACAAGTCTGCTCATCAGACAGCGCGTTTCCTGTCTTTCACAGGTTTGTGTAAGAAGTGGATTTATCTGTGTTACTGAGCGCTGGAAAGATGGAGAGAAAACAGAAAGAGTGAAATCAGGAACAGAAGGCGGCGGGGGGAGTGTGTTATCGGCTGCTGCAGTATTAACCAGACGCGTGACCGCAGCGTGTTCTTAACGTCCAACTTCCAGCTAGAACAGAAACTACTTTCACTAATACTATTTAGAAGTAAATGCTGTGGTTTGAACAGATAACCTGAGATAAGCTGAGATGCTGCTGTATCCGACTCTACAAGTATCCTAAAAAAGCCCTGAGCTGCTCACTGTGCGGAGCTCCCCAGAAACTGTGTTGTCATAGCAATTTTTTAAATTACTCTTTTATTCTCATTTTGCTTACACGTGTTAAAAAAGTCTGTTTAACTGAAAAATCCTTCGTGTGTTACCTCACCATATTACCAACAGGGCAGCCACGTCTGAACGTTTACTGGGGAAATGGTTTGACCACAACAAAAATCACTGACACTCTGTTTTGTTTCAAGACATTTTACAATGTAGCATTTTTAAACTTTTTAACAAAGAAGCGTGTCAGAGTACTTGTAACATAGTTACATTATGAACATTAGCTGCTTCACATTTTGATGAATACCTACAACTTAGCAGTGCTTCATAACCCTGCTGACGGCTCAGCTGCAGCAAAGAAGCCACAGCAGCTGAGTTCGAGCTGCCACTCTGAGGGACGTTAGCGAGCTTTTATTGGGTTGTGTAGTGGATATGCTACCAGTGTCTAATGGATGTGTCATGAGGCAGTCACTACGGTCAGTCAGCTACACAAACTCTGGACCAAATAACCAACAGGCTAACTGCAAACAGGTGCACATTTTTGGAAGGTACTTTTCTTCTTTTTCTGACACAGTGCCCTAAAAACTCCCAATTCAATTCAATTCAATTTTATTTATATAGCGCCAAATCACAACAAAAGTCGCCTCAAGGCGCTTCATAGATACAGAGAAAAAACCCAACAATCATATGACCCCCTATGAGCAAGCACTTTGGCGACAGTGGGAAGGAAAAACTCCCTTTTAACAGGAAGAAACCTCTGGCAGAACCAGGCTCAGGGAGGGGCGGGGCCATCTGCTGTGATTGGTGGGGTGAGAGAAGGAGCTACTACCCAGAAACTACTAACTCATGTGGTGCAGCTGGACACAAAGTCAATGAAGGAAGAATTTAGTGTTTCTTACAAGAGCAAACAACAACAAAAGCCTCTTACTTAGACGAGTCTGAAGAGTTCTGTTCATGCTTCTAATGTGGGGCTAATTTTCTGTAGGCTGGAAATGATAAGCACACCTTTCATTTTACATGATGCATATGAAATATTGATTAGTGCACTCAACCAGAACCTCGATGGAGACTGTAGAAGACCTTTAGCTTGTTTGAAACTATGTTGCGGCCTAAAATGAAAATCATATTTAAGTCTGCAGCTTCCACCAACCAGAACTCATTATCAACACAGGACAAACAACCAAAAGATTCTTCCATCTATTTGTTAATCTGTGGCGATTTCCATTGAGAAACTCCCCCGTCCACGTCTATGGTGCAGTGTACTGCTGACGATCCTACCGTGATCTCACATAAACGTGTTAATGCTCTAAGCGCTGCTCGCTGGTTTTGTTTAGTTGCTAACACAACCATCCCTAGCCCATGCCACACTGTTGGGCTCGGAGTTGGGGAGAACATACACAGGCAGACGAAGCTGGAACGGGTGGGGTTGGGAGGTGGAGGGGAGAGGGCCTGAGACAACATAATGGGAGGCAAGAAAGAGCAGGAGAAGCGGAGGTGAGGTCTCGGGGTGGGCAGCAGGGTTTGGTGAGGGTGGGGCAGCAGGGTCGGGTAGGTGTGTTAAGGTGATAAAAACCTTTCATGACATTAGGGTCTGTGAGGTTCCGCGAGCAGATCATTGAGATCATAGCATGGAGCCTATCTTCCTCTTCCTCGTCATCATCCAGCGATGGAGCGCGGCTGCCCGTGGTGTGGTGGTAGTTTATAGTGACTGTTAGCACCGGTGGGACAACAGAGAACAAAGTTAGAAAAGCGGTGCCCTGCATGGCTCTGCAAGAGTATTGTGGGAAAGAAACCAGGGTGCTTTACAAACACATTCATGTAGCCGTTAATCAGATTAGTGTTCGCCACAAAACAAGATTCGTTTTGGTTACGAGCAGCTACGTCTGCCTCGTGGGCGCCTGCGCTGTTACTTACTGGCTTCGTATCGATATCCAGGGTAGACGATGCGAAACACGTAGTCGGCGGCCGACTGCTCCTCGCCGTTGGCTTCCTGGTCGATAAGCCTGGCGGCACTACTCCTCTTCCTCAGTTTAGGGAATACTTTTCCCTGTAGGACAGGTTTAGCATGTGATGCAGGTCAAAGACACAACTTAAACAGGTTTAATGGGACGCTCTTAAATTAGCTTTGTGGGATTCTCCAACACTGAGCTGCCTGGGTTAAGACCTTTGGTTCATCTGTTGTCTAAAACAGCTGTTTTAACTGACTATGCCACCATTCTTCTGATTGGCTGGTTTTACAAACGTGCCATCTGACTTGCAGGTGGGGTTAGGGGGGTTGTGCTCATATTATAGATATCACTGATGTAAAAGAGCCACGAGTAGACAGAAAAATCGAATCTGGAGCAGTCTAAATCCTGGGCTTCTTGCACGTTTGTCCCACCGTTTCAACCCGAGTAAATACAACATGTAGTGATTTCATTTATTAAGGAATAAAAGTCCAAAGCTGCTCTTCTTTGTGAAGCAGTAAAGTTCTGTCACATACTTGATTGCAGTTGTTGCTGCTAAGGGTGGAGAACCAGTTATTAGGTTTGAGGGGGGACTACTTTTTGACGCAGGGCAGCTGAGTTTTTATGTTGATGGTGACGAACTTTAGTTAAATATAAAATTTTGAGATTCCTTCACAGTTTAGAGGTTTCGATTCTACACATATCTGCTGTATCGGGCTTTATATATTGATACCATTTCATGACATCAGCAGTCTAAGGAGCCTCAAAATATAAGCGCTCGATGTAAAAACTGTTTATTGGTCACAGCATCATCTCATCACCTGCACAAAGTTTCAACTCTGAGTTTTTGGTCTTGTCTCAAAGTTAGATTCACTCTGTAGGTTGTAGGTCCTATAACTACAGTCTGACGGCCTTTCTGGTGTCAGTTTAATTCTACAGTGCCTGCACTTCACTGTGCTTTATTATATTTTAGTGTTTTAGGATCTTCATTTGTTACCTGAATCATGCTATTACCTTTCCTTTTTGGGACCAGAGAGGCGGCTCCAACTGGCCCCGTGGTAACAGGCCCGTTTCCAGACAGGAGAGAAAGGCCAGCAGGTGACCACCAGGGGGAAAGTGCAGGGGTGGCCGCTGGATCCCATCCTGACTGACCAGAACCAGTGTCCCCCCACAGTCAGCTGGAATATGAACAGGCAAAGAAAAGAACAAAGTGGATCAAATACTGTCTTTTAATAGTGGACAAGACATAAACTGTGATACTGTAAAAAGAAACCGAAGGTTTGTGCATGTAAGAAATGGAAAAGGAGGAAAAGGAGGAGAGGGATTCTCTGTGTATACTTTGTCATGATCAGTGATATCATGAAACAGATTCTTCATGACATGATCTAAATTTGACGTGACAGACTGTGTGCGTGTGTGTGTGTGTGTAGGACTGAATACAGCAGTATACTCACAGCGTTGGTGACAGTGGATGCATACTATCTGGCGCAGAGGAACAGTGAGTGCGTAATCCCAGTAGATACTAAAAGAGAAGCACGTGTGTTGGATTAGTAACATAAGAGTGACGGGAGTACAACGATCTGCTGATGATCCACAAACAATGCATGAACCCAGGAACACACATGTAGTCCCAATCATAGAAAATGATTCCATTATTTTTTTTTTATTTGTTTAGATATGTGCAACCTGGAGAGTGCAATTACTGTAGGGCCTCTACACTCCACTCCCTAATATTGTAATGCAGAATGGTGACATGATAGTAATGAAATAACTGCAGAATTGAAATAACATATATCTACCAATAAACTTATTTCTGAAAATTATGAGGTAGCTAAGGAAATTCTTTGTATGACTAACAAATGGAAGCTTGTTATTAATGCACATTTAGGTCTTGTTTGTGCACATTCTGCATTGTGGATAGATTATGGCTGTGTGTTGAAAGCAATGAGGGATGAATTAATTCCCTGAAACGCCTTGAGGCGACTTTTGTTGTGATTTGGCGCTATATAAATAAAATTGAATTGAATTGAATAGAAAATGCAGTCCAAAAACAGAGAGCAGACATATTAGGTTAATCTGTTAATACATAGATATATACATAGATAGATGATGCACAACTATATATATCTATAGCTACCTATCTAGTATTTCTCCCTGAAAGTAGAAAGATCATTTAGATCAGCGAGACATGAATCAGTCATGAGGTTTCCTGTGAAACTGATCTCTGGAAGGTCTCCCACAGAGAGCAGCATCTATCCATTTACTAAAACAATTCTGTCATGTGAAGCAGAGCTCTGTGTATAAGCTCAGGGGGGCCCCTCGGCTGTGTGAAGAAGAACACGAGACATCATTTACCAACTGATCTTGACCAATGTGTTTGTAAATGCATGCCGCAGGTATTTATCAAAGCCGAGGCTCTCACTGACCTGTGAGCCAATAACAACACCAGCACAACCTCCTGAAACACTTTCTGTGACATCTGAATATTGTAGATTTGCTTCAGGTGTGTCTGTTACAACAAAATCATGACACGACAATCCGCCTGCGACGTGTCAAACGTGCGTGTGCGCACATCTGCATTTCTTTACTACATTTGTTTTTGTATCAAGCAGACTTTATCTGATGCATTCAAACTGTTCATTTCTGAGACGCTAGCTCATGTGTTCGTACACTCGGGCTACCTTTTCTCCAGGTCGCAGTCTCCCAGTGTGCCATTGATGAGCTGATTGGGTGTCCACTTCAGCGTGAGATTATCCCCCGCTTGATGGAGAGACAAGTAACCCCGTAAAACCTCCATGTCCTTCTTCTGCCACGTAAAACGGAGAGGAGGAGATGGAACATTGTTAGCACCAAGATGAAGAAAGCGCTTTTACTCAAACGTGTGACATGAGATGCTTTTCCTCAGCACTACTGTGGAGGTCACAGCACTGCTGAACGTGATCAGCTGCAGAGAGAAACCATAATGTGTCTGCGCTGTACACACTGATGTCGACAACATAAAAACTTAATTCTGCAGTTACGAGGATGTTTTTTGCATTAAACTTTTTTCACACAGCACCAGAAACTGCTTTGAGCTCTGTGTGCTCTATGATCCCAGCATTTATTTAACACACCCTGATAATCTGGTGTTAGTAAGATGAGCTCATCAGCCACTGATTCATGTTTCTGATTTATTAAACTAAGGAAACTGTTTATTGCCCAACTCTGACATTTATTCCCACAGACTTTCTCTAGCTTTTATTTTCTTATTGTCATCTACTCATCACACTTTTCTGAATCTAATTTGTTGGAAGTGTGATGATGTCACACGGTCCAGGTTTAAACAGGACATTTTCAGTCCTGTTCGCAGTTCAGTAGATGGAATTTCAATCATCAGAAATGTGAACGATACCAGGCTGAGTTCATGTGGGTGTCACACGTCAGAGTAACATCCACATCCCTCACATTGTAACAAGGTCGCTTCACTTGTTGTGGTTTTCACGTCATTGCCGATCGGTAGCTCACGATGAGAGAGCTGCTCTTGCACACCAGTGCAGCGAGTGCTGTACTTCTCTGCATGTCTGTCAGCGGGGCTCGGAGAAAGGCATCTTGGGAGGCATACGTGCTCAGGGCCAAATGTGCTGGAGCAACGCAGGCAGAAGCAAGATGTGATTTCAAAGATCTCACACACACTACTGTGCAGCTTTTTTGGGGTTTTTTTTGGGATTCTTGTGATTTGAGTTTTTCTTATAACAGCTGTTTCCTGTTTGGTTTCTTTATGGTTTGAATTTGAAATGTAGTCTTCCTCCCCTCTATCCCCGGTCTTTTTTGTCCCATTTATCTTGGATTCAGCTTTACCTCCCTTGATTGCATGTGTGTGTACGACTTATTCCTCCCTCTGTCCTGTGGTTTCCCGGTGCGCTCGCTGTCAGTTGAAGGATTAGTTTGCCGTTTCTTTTTATGGATACTGACTTTCTGGACTTTGCCTAAATAAAGGTTTGCTTTTGTTTATCCTGTCAGCCTGTGGGGCCTGCGTTAGGGTCCTCTCTGCCTGCAGGACAAGCTGAGTGGGCGCTGCACGTACAGTGTGTAGGCTTCCAAGGATTACTGCTGCTATTCTAAAAAAGCAGCAGCTTCGGGGCCTACACAGCCCTGCAACCTTTGACAGCTACACAAAGTTTCAACCTTTATCAAAGTTTATGCCAAGATTTTTTCAGAAAGCTAAGCTCTAAGCTGTCACATTATATCTCACACACACTATAGACATAGTTCATTTTATTCTGCTCTAAGACTGTCTGTGTTTGTACGATTTAATGTATGAAACACAGCTTAGTGTAAGAAATAAAAAGCAGTATGGGGGACTGAAACTGCTCAGCATGTCTTGAAACATTGTAACTGTAACTGTGATTTACAAAGAATCAAAGAGTATTTTTCATTATCGTTCCTCAACTGTTACGATTGATTTCTCGTGGGACATTAAAGTGTTACATCCTTACATTTGCGTTTCCTCTCCTCTTGCTGATATTCGTCAGGCGCACACTAATGTAATGAAATGCATCTGATACAGACAGCTCGCTGTCACACGACTGGAAATAGCCGCGGATCATCCAGAGCTGCTGTTTCCGTCACTGCTTTGTTCTTTACTCAGCCAACATGAGCTGAATCATCTGATTTTATATTAGAGCAGAACAGACTGACTTTAAAACTTGATGAAACATACTGAAATGAGCACATCCTGTGCCATATTTATTTCTTTATCTCTTTTCACCCGTTCCATCAGCACTTGAGTCTAATTAAGCTGCTGATATGTGGTTCTTACTTGTTTTCAAGGCTCCATGTGAGCGTGCAGCATAAAGTCTAGCTGTCGTGCTGTGTTAGCAGATATTATTTTGCTGATAATGTTGCAATATTTGACATAGTGTCTTCTTGTGTTGCACACTGCTGTGTGACAGAATTAGCTGTGCAACACAAAATCAGTGCTGCAGAGAAAAAGTCCATAACGCAGCAGACTTTGTCCTAGTAATAGAAAGGAATATATCCAAACTTTCTGCTTGGATAAATCAAAAGAAAACATAACAAATCAAGTTGTTATGGTTTTTTTGATGGATGTAAAGTTTGGTCAAAGTGAAGACACACTCTCAGCGGCTTGTTTGAGAAACTGTAGGATCCAATATCAGACTGGACTGAGATATGACCCTTTACCAAAGTACAAGTATTGTCACTATATGTCTGGGCTGTGAGACTGTGGAGGAACTGAAAGCACTCCAGAGGATGATGGGACAAAAACAGCAAAGTTACTGTGTGTCAGTGAGATGTACCGGTTGCACAAGGACATTATTTTTCCCATAGAGCAGGTGCGTTCTGGAGTTTTGGTGAAGAGACTCCACATACTCCCTCGCTGATGCAGCAAACCTGTCCTCTGACATGCTGCCGCTCGACTGCCTTTTGCGGATCTAGAAAAGAAGCAAACAGCCAGTTTATACAACGAACGACTCCTACGAGAAAACCAATCCTACACACGCCGATGATCTATCCTTAGAACAACACCTCCACAGAACAACACCTCCAGAGGATGCCCCGTACTAACCCCCAGAGCAGGCCGGTGGCCGGCTAAGACGTCCTGGCCCCGGTGGGCCCCGTGAATACGATGGCGCTGAACCAGCTCATTGGCTGAGGGGTCTGTCCAGAAATGATCCGAAGTCTTCAGCTTCGTGTACTCCAGAGCACACGGCCCCACTAAAAAGACAGCACACATATACACGGTCTTTAAGCAAACATTTGATGTTGCTCATTTCTGCATATGTGATGGAAAACCTGCAGCGTATCTACGACATGCTCCTGTGTGCACGTATTTCGAATTCTTGATTGAATTTTGATCAAATAACACTATTAGAGAGGATTCTTCATTGCTAACAACATTGTATAATCCTGTCCTCCTGTCCAAAGTAAATCAGGGCTGGCATGTAGTGAGAGATGGGCTCGACCATGCATATTTCACCAGGTCATCACAATGGTTCACTAGTAAAATGGTCTGTATTTATATAGTGCTTTACTAGTCCCTAAGGACCCCAAAGCGCTTTACACAACCAGTCATCCACCCATTCACACACTGGTGATGGCAGCTACATTGTAGCCACAGCCACCCTGGGGCGCACTGACAGAGGCGAGGCTGCCGGACACTGGCGCCACCGGGCCCTCTGACCACCACCAGTAGGCAACGGGTGAAGTGTCTTGCCCAAGGACACAACGACCGGGACTGTCCAAGCAGGGGCTCGAACCGGCAACCTTAGTAGATAAAACAGTGTGGCACAAATGTACCGTATTTTTCGGACCATAAGGCTCATTAAGTGAAACAAAGCAGTCAGATAAGTCAAACTTTATTCAACTCATTCTTCTTGCTTCCTCCACTTCTGTAACATTGATTCATTAATGCTGTATTCTATCACAGCTGCTCTATTCCTGTTGTTGCAGTATATTAATGACTAATCTTGTATTGTGGATGGATTATCTCAGTTGTTCTCCTGACTGACGTTTGGTCCATTTACAGCATCCTGCCATGCGACTGTATTTGTCTCTAACCATCGGGAACCCTCACGTTAACGAGTGGAAAAAAGTTAGCGTTCATCCTCCTGCTTCACTGTATTTATGCTATGCTAACATAGCTGTGTAGCTAATGCTAATGCAGACTGTCAGTGCCCCAGGGCAGCTGTGGCTACAACCGTAGCTGCCTCCACCAGTGTGTGAATGCGAGAGTGAATGAATAGTGGCACTGTAAAGCGCTTTGGGTGCCTTGAAAAGTGCTATATAAATCCAATCCATTATTATTATTATTAAGCACAACCAGAATTCATACATAAGATGCACCGGATTATAAGGCGCACTGTTGATTTTTGAGAAAATTAAAGGATTTTAAGTGCGCCTTATAGTACGGAAAATTCTGTAAGTTTCCAAATGCACCTGTGCTGCATTCCCAAGTAAAGCCTGTGTGGACAAACAGTATTTATACCTGTGTACGGGACTTTTTTTTTCTTTTACATATCAGTAATCTAATAATATCAATGGTACAATAACACCAAAAATATGGCTTGCAGCAGTCTAAAGAACTTTAAATGGTCAGACTAGAAAAGTGCCATATGAATGCATATACATTACATTATAAATGGTTTCAGTTCTTTCTTTCTGTCAGCACGGAGCAAATATGCAGCAGGTGTTTGGACACATTAATGTGCGTCTCTGTCCTAGCTGTTCATGACTATACTCTGCTCCGCCCCTCATCAGCACTCATTATCTGCCTCATCAGTGTCCTGAACTCCCTCTTTAGTCAGAGATGATAAAGTGTTTATTTTCTCTTCACCAGTCTGTCTCGCAGTTAACTTTGTCTAGTTTGCTCAAGCTGGCAAAGCTGTTTGCTTCCTGTTCCTGTCTGACTGCCCGGTGTCTCTGATTCCGAGTCTCTGCCTGCTGTCCAATTCCAAACAGTTATGAAAATGCTGTCTTGTGTATTTGTTTGCAAATTTAAATGAATATATGAACAATCACCTGGATGATCAGCTGTGCATGCTTTTTTACTAGCCTCTGGTGATTAAATACATTAACATACTCACCTAGTAGGGCTGCCAAGATGGGCCCAAAGACTGAGTCATGCATCAGAGCTTCCCTCTCATAGTATTTACTGCCGTCAGAAACACAGAGAAGAAAGAAACACGTCACTAGATATGATCAGTTTGGAGGTGATGAGTGCAGGTTAAAGGTTAAAGTATGACCTGTCATCTATCCAAGAACAGGCAAGGATTCAGCAACGCATGATAGAAACTCAGATGACACACCTGCCTGATTACATCACCACCCCTCACTCATATCTAGTGGCTGCATTACATCACAGATCCATCACATGGGTTAGGAAGATGTGGTTTCTGGCTGGCTCCAGTGTAAATCACCGTGGTAACTCACGCTGAATAGCTACAATGTGACCTTGTATTTGAATAACACCAAACTTCCACAGAGCGCTCCGATTGAGCAGTTCCCAGTAGTTTCTGTGGGAGTTCACCATGACTCTGTCCTCCAGGATGAAGTTCTACTTCACCCGAGGAGCGTGGCAGAGAACATGCAGCAGAAATGGTTTTGCCACAGATACAATCTGAGCTCACCACCTTCATTACAAATTAAGACTACATTTAAGGATAAGCATTTCAACATCAGGTTAGAGCCACCGCCTAATGCACAGGTAGATGTACAGTGGGCGTAACAGATCGCAGGATGTGGCAGGGAGCAGGTCAGAGGAAAGTCTGGCAAACCCAAGATAATATCAAACAGCATAAATGAACAAAGCACCAATTGTTTGATCAGTTCATCTTTAAAAGTGATCAAATACTCCAAGTGTAGGAGATCACACCCATTATCCCCTTCACTTGACTCAACAGTGTGATTGCTGTAAGTGTATAGAAGCTGCAGTGACACTTTATGCACATGATGAATGCAGCAGCACACCCAGAGGACCGAGTGAGTAGAAGAATCACTGATGGGCTCGTTTCTATGTATTAGCGCTGGCCGAGTGCTTCACCGTGACGGTTAAGGTTGGACGGCTGATTCACGCGCACATTATTTCCAAGTGCTGTGATTTCTCAAAGGTTGAAGATATGCCTGTGCATTAAGGATGCATCCCCGATAAAATAAATATACCCTGGCTTCAGGCATCTGTCAATACTGAGAGCTGATCCAACACCAGAGTTAAATTAAAAAGCTCTACTTCCCTCCCAATAAGGACGAGGAAGGATAATAAGTTTACGCATCAGCAGCTAGGATGTCCTATACAGCTAAACCCCCAACACTCATCGCGTCTGAAACAATATTGTTTCCCAGTATCTGTGATGTTAGGCCCAGTGAAACCTGTAAACACAGTGAGAAGAGCACTGAGGTCTGCAGGCTTCACAACAAAGGCCAGAATAAAGGTTTACTAAGGTTGCTGTTTGATGCTCTTTACTTCTGAGGGACTTCTGAGGCCTTGACATTCACCGTGGGCGTCTTACATCAGATTAGATCACCTCCGCTGCAGCTGTCTGAACACAACGCCGACTTTACAATATTTGCCCAGCTTTTACCAGGAACTATACAACAGCAAAACCGCACAACTCTTGTTTAGGGTTGTCTGATAACCGTTGCCATGTTTGTGAACCCCATCAGTGCACTTCATGTCTGAAGCTTTGATCAGTGAATTGCAGTGTGTGGACAGCTTGTCGAAACACACAGTGGTTGTTAGCCAGACAGAACGCAGAACAAAGCAAACACAAGAGAAGAATGGGCAGCATAAATAGATCATTTATTCAGGTACAACAAAGCCTGGAGTAGGTTGCTGTGAGTCACCACAGTGCAACACCAGACAGTAAAACAAACTCACCTGCAGTTGTCCACAATGTACTGCACAATCTTGTCCAGAACTTTCTCGAAGAGAGCCGTGCGGACCCAGATGTGTTTGATGGCCTGGGCGGAGAGGGGCTGAGGGGGCCGGCTGGTGGTGGAAGAGCCTTGTCTCCTCAGGGGTTCGTGGCCCACGCTCTGGGTTCTCCTGCACAACAAAGCACCAGTTACTGTAATTAACCAGCCTGCAGGAGCGCTCGTGACACACAGGATTTCTACGGCTGATGCTGACCTACACTTATATAAATTTCAACCTGCAAAAGAACCTAAACTTTATCAGTTACAGATAAAGAATAAATAACCATCATGGATAAGGATAAAAGACATGTTACAATGTTACAATGAGTCTACGTGAGATTTGAAAAATGGGCAAAACAGTTCCATTTTTACTCTGCCTTCAAACGGCTCTGCAGAAGATACGTTATAACAATGACTAACTTACTGTATCTATTTCAATACCTCTCAACCTCTCCCCAACCTTTGAGAGCATTTGTTCTCTCCCCAACCGGTCGCAGCAGATGGCCCCGCCCCTCCCTGAGCCTGGTTCTGCTGGAGGTTTCTTCCTGTTAAAAGGGAGTTTTTCCTTCCCACTGTCGCCAAAGTGCTGCTCATAGGGGGTCACATGATTGTTGGGTTTTTCTCTGTATCTGTTATTGTAGGGTCTACCTTACATTATAAAGCACCTTGTGGCGACTGTTGTTGTGATTTGGCGCTGTGTAAATAAAACTGAATTGAATACCTGCAAATCTTAAATGCACAAACATGACCAGAGTGTCTAAGCTGGACCTTCTGACTGTGTTTGTGTGGTTGGACCATTCTTTTACATTTACCTGACAAATATTATGACTATCGATTTTCTTTTGCACTTCCAGCTAACACACAGACTGTTTTTCAGCTCAGTGAAAATTAAATAATTATACAAAGAACAGCTGTGGAGCGTGAAACACAGCTCATGCTCAGCTACACTGCATTTGACCAGTTAGTTTTTTCCTGCCTCTTTAAAAGCATTTAATATTTGATAATTACAATAAAAAAAACTTTTTTTTCCCTGACAAACATTATTGGATGTATGTAGATTTTGCTTCAAGACCTCTGAAAATGTCATTAATGGTCTCCAGTAACACAAGCAAACAAGGAATGAATTTGTTTTATACGCTGTGCAAAGGCTGACTGAAAATTGCACCTTTGGCCATGAGGAGGCAGCATTTAACAGCACAATAGGGCGTCACTTACTATAGCCCATTATAACTTATTAATATTTATAATAGCTAAACACCGGCTGCTTTATTAGTAAATCTGTTCAACGTCAAGCAAAATGTGTCCTTTTATTCTGGACCTGAGCTGTGAGAAGCATTTCGTGAATCTGGATACAGATGACTAACATCAGGCTGAGAGACGAGCACTTTCATCTCCGACTGAGTTTGATCTTTGGTGTTTCAACAGCAATCAAACAAAGCCACTCTCTCTCTCTCTCTCTCACACACACACACACACACACACACACACACACACACACACACACACACACACACACACACACATTTCTACAAGCTAATGAGGATGCGTTTGTGTGTCTGTGCTGAATGTGGCTCGGCTGCCACAGTCACGATGATAGCAATCCCCTAGTGAGTGTGTGTGAGTGCGTGTGTGTGTGTGTGTGTGTGTGTCTGTCTGTGTGTGTGTGTACGTGAGACCGAGAGAATAGCGTTCTTCTTCCAGCTGCTCTCTTCGGGGCTCGTCACAGAGGATCATTTGCCTCACTCTATCGTCACATACGTGTGCTTCACTACATCCATGAATCTTCTCTCAGCTTCCTCTTTTCCTCCTGCCTGGCATCTTTTGTCCAGTATTTCCAGTGTCCTTCCTCTGCACATCTCCAAACCATCTCCACCTTGTCTCTCTAACTTTGTCTCCAAACTGCCTAACTCAGAGGTTCCCAAAGTGTGGGGCCCGACCCCTAGGTGGCGCAGAGCCATTGCAGGGGGGGCGTGGTGTAAAAAAACAAACAAACAAAAAAAAAAACGCTTGGCCACGGGTAGCATAAGGACAGGTTTTTGGGGCTCCCACACAAACGCAAAGCACAAGTGCCAAGGTAGGTCTCCCCTGCAGAATTGGTTTTCCCTTCGTCGGGAGCAGCGCTGGGCTGTTCAAATCACGGACAAACAGTATCCCACATTCTTGATTTTTAGTTCACAAACACTTGTTGTAATGACTAACTACTCCTGACATTTTGGAGATGTTAGCTCTTTATACAGTAAAGTTACAGCGGGATACAAATAACCTCAGGCTGATCCTGCCACGATTTGTTCCCTCGGTTCAAATCACGGACAAACAGGATCCCACAGCTGTTTATGTTTTTAAACCCATTTTGCACAGAGAAGCATTTTTTTAAAATGTATTGACAGCAATGTTGAACATTATCACACAGGGAAAAAAACTACATGTAAAATAATCCCACCGTGACGCCTCTGCCTTTGTAAATGGAAGGACAGTAACAGTAACAGTAAAACCTGCAGACAGTCAGATTAACAGTATTTTGTCTCTATCTGTCATTCTGCAGTTCATCTCCTGTAAACAATAACGTGGCCACAGCATGACGTGAAAAAGGCACATACCTTTGACGTTGTGTGACGAACTCTGTATTCCTCGTCCACACGTAAACGCAAAAAAGGAGTTTTAAAAAATCTCAGTTTTCGGTGATTCGAAACGCCGTTTACGTGTGAACGAAACAACTGTGTGTTCAAAAATACCCGTGTAGGTGTGGACGTAGCGTAAAAGAGTTTATTCTATTACTACCTGTAATTTATTGCAGTTTACTTTTATTTGCTTAATTGTTTACAAAAAGTTTGAGGTGTGAAATAAACCGCAATGGAGCAAAATATGGGCGTGTGTGGTTGGAGGATGTGTTTACGTGGTGGGGGGTTGCGAACATTTTCCTTGTGAAACAAAGGGGGGCCTAGCAAAAAAAGTTTGGGAACCACTGGCCTAACTCAAGCTGTCGGCCAGAGCCGACAACGAACACAGACCGACACCCACTAAACATACACACACAAGGTAATCGGGTAATCACACACAGGAGGGGAGAACAGCTGAACCTAATACACACAATGACTGGAGGACACAAGCTGAACACAATGACAACAGACACAGACCTTCAGAATAGAACAGGAAATCCAGAACACGAGCCTTCAAAGTAAAGCAGGAAACACACAGACTGGTTCACAACACAACACGAGGACATGAACAGAGCACCGAGGACAGACACAGGTAGGGCTGAATGTACACCAAACTTCAGGTTCAACCCTAAACTAGTACAAAATCAGAATAAACACAAGGCACAAAAATGAACTTCAAGGAAACACAAAACGCTGGGTCAAAATGACCCAGGACCATGACAATGTGTAGGATAAAAGCTACAAATAAAGAGAGACATCATTGTTTATAGGACTCACACACACACACACACACACACACACACACACACACACACACACACACACACACACACACACACACACACACACACTCTAAGTGTATCCATACAGCTGTCTAGTTGTCATAGCACAAACTTTACGTGCATGTGATGTGTTTAGGAGAATCTATAATAACATGGCTTACGCTCTAACCCATCAGGCACTCGATTAGCCGACTTAGGATTCAAATAGTTCCCAAGCATCTTTGAACCAAGCAGTGACTGCTGAAGCTGAAAAATGAAGTCAGGGGAGAAGTTCCAAAAACTGCAGAATCCCATGGTTATTGTGGTAACGAGCACGGTAACTAGTTATTATGCCAAAATCAGGAACGCGTTACTCGTTACTGGGATTTAATGGGGTCGTTAGTTGTGAGGAGAGTGCAAGTTCCCCCACTTAAAAGGATGACAGAGGTCAGTAATTTGCAAGAGGTACACTTCCAGACGATTATTAAGAGTTGAGGGGTCTAAAATGATCGACAAGAAGTCAGGTAAAAATTATGAGGCTAAACACAGCAAGGTAACATCTATCATGGTTGATGAGAATCAGAAATGAGGAAAGATTGAGTGAGAGAACAAAAAAAATTGAAAATGTGATTACGTGCTGTAGTGATTATTTTATAAGCACTTATAGTTTTCAAAGATATTTCGGGAGAGTAGGATTAATTAAGTAATATATGGGTTCTTTTCGAATCAGACACGGTACAAATTTCTGGAGGTTAACACTACGACTATGGTGCTAATTCTTGATAAAGGCAGCATGTTTCGTGATCGTATAATTGGGGAGCTACTCTCACGTCGATATGCACTTGTATGAAATAGGACACCGGATATGTTAATGGGATCACTCTACAAATCGCTGTGAACTGAGAAAGACACTGATCACCTCAGATCGAACATAGATTAGCAAGGTCCCATACACAAAAGACTAGAATCCGTCCTATGGGCCAGTTACCAAGAGGCAAAGAGAGAACTAAGAAAAGGAAAAGGCTATGTTGTTAGACTGGCCAACACGGTGGGGAAAAGAGTGAGAATCTTCAAATAAAGGAGCATAGGCAGCATTGGTGTGAAAATCAACTAGAGGGTGAAGACAATCATAGATGCCAAGCAAAATGAGAAAGGCAATACTATAGACACTGGATAAAAATTGCTCGCGTCTCAGATCTGACGGAAACTGGCAGAGGGGCCAACCGCAAGAAAGATCTCGATCGTGGAGGGGCTCAAGAAAAATGATCAACTGAGCCGAGCCAACTTACAGGTGAGAGACGGAAGCTCAACCAGATGTCCAGAATACACAATCACGGGGGGGCCTGGTCGGTGAGCTAGTAGTAAGATTAGCTGGGTGACATCAACACGTACAAAGAAGAGGTCAGCCAATTCGAAAGCATAAACAGACACTACACCAGCATAATGCCACGAGCACGGAGAAGTTCAGTAAATGCCAGGAGGTCATGAAGAGATGCGTGGTTCTCGGCTACTTCTGAACAGTCAATACGTTGCTAGGCTACATACTCTGAGCTTTACGAAGAGAGCACATGGATATTCTAAGTCAAGATGAAAGAGTAGCACTACGTGTTTACCACAGAGTGGGGAAGCACAGGTTTCGTGGCATAACTCGAACAAGAAAAGTATAGATTGATCTCATTATACTGGTATATAATCTCAAATTCGGAGAGCTG